CACACTGGCTAAAGTAAATCTTACAATGGCATGATCTGACGCAATGAAGTCATAGGCTATGCTGGGATACTTTTCTTTATCTAGTGAATATCTTTATATTCCAAGTTACTCCTGGCCTTTGGAGCTTCAACTGATAAACTTATTAACTCTGTGAGTCTTTTCTGGATCTCTGGTTTTAACTGGTTAACTCTTTGAGTCCCTTCTAGTGGACTTGACTGGTCTCATTCTCTCTTCATCACACTCATATCTACTTTTCTGCTTAGCAATGGCATGCCAAGACCAGTGAGTGTCCCAAAGGGAAGGACCTCAATCAGCACCTACATTCATAGTGATTGGAAACCAGATGCTCATGCAGCAGTTTTTGAAAAGTGCAAATATGTACAGTCTTATGGGACCACAGGTGCAAGCCCTACTGAACACTAGAGCCAAACCATCTGGAGGTGTCCCCTGGGCAGCAGTTCACAAAAAATGTGCCTCCACATGAGTGTGTAGACTTCTTTCTGGAAGATACTGATAAATTGTACCAAGGTAGAGGGAGAGTGCAAAAACGGTGTCCTTCATCCTGCATTCCCTGTCAACATCTCCATAGTCCCTAGATGTGTGCCAGACCTGAAGCTTCCCCTAAGGTCAAAGCTATATGAAAAGCAAGTAGTCCCCTTTTAGAGAGTGGATAGGGATGTTTCACTCTGCTGTCTGTAGTTCCCTGGGTGTTGCAGCCTGCCAAGAACTGTCTCTTTGATTGTTATATGTGACCCAAGAATTTAAGAACCCTGGCCATAAGAGCCAGGGAAGGATTTATCCCCTGGGCAGTGATCACAAAAACCAAGGCACTGGACATAAAAACAAGGGCAACAGACACATATAAGAACTCCTCCTTGAGAGATGCTGGTCCTGTAGAGCATGGCAGAAGAAGAGTGTAAGCATAGTATTCATTTACTAAGGTCTGAGGAAAGGTTTACAGTTAGCTCTTCAATGTATGTTTAATTAGAACCCTGCTGCTCAAACTGCAGTTATGATAATAAGCTAATTAGACATCTTTCACAGGAATATTGAACTCTTGGGTCTGTTACCTCTTGATGTGCCCTCAGGGTTGTAGCTGCTTAAGAACTCTTTCTCCATTGATTATATCTCCAGGGGACCTGTGACTATATACTCTTCTGGCCACCAAAGTCAGTCATTGTAGAGGTATTTTCTGTCAGCAGTCTAAAAAACCAGGGCACTGAAGAAGTTTTAAGCTCCTTTCTGGAAGATCCCAGCTAGCTGGAGTGATTCAGAAGGAATGAGCAAAGATTACATCTTCCAGCCTCCATTCCCTGATTGCACCTCCATAGGCACCTATTAGTATACCAAACCAGAAGCCTGCTTCTCAGACCAAACTATCTGGAGAAACAAATTGGCCTCTTTATCAGAAAGACTTTGGGAGTGTTGCAGTCTGCTACCTGTGCAGTGCCCTAAGAGTGGTAGTCCACTACAAACTGTATCTCTGATGGTTACAGTCCCATAGGACCCATGATCACAAGCTCCCTGGCCTCCAAAGCCAGGTGATCAAGAAGCATACCCTTGGTGGCTGCCACAAAAATCAGGTTACCAGAAGTGAAAACAGGGTCACCAGACCTGTAGACACTCACCTCCAATAGATACTAGTACTTTGTAGTGCAGCAGAGGGAGAGCATGAAAATTGGGTTACCAACTGCAGCAAGGTAGAGGGAAAGTACAAAGATGATAACTATTAAAAAAAGAAAAGAAAAGGGAAAAGAAAAGTAAAATAAGAAAATAAAGAAAAAAGAAAAGAAAACAAAGGTAGTGCCCACTGAATTTAGCAGGGCAGATGGAGAGCAGAAAGATGGTGCCCATCAGCCTTCATCCCAGTGTATATTTCATTAGAGCCCTGCCCTTCAGACCAATGTTTTAAAATATGCAATGAGTCTCTTTCACATAAAACCTAGGAGCTTTTCAAAGAGCTTCTTCTGTGCTGGGTGCTGGGGTGGGTGAGTCTGCATGAGAGCTCTTTATAGAGCCATTTCTCAGTTTTCCACAGTCCCATGGGTCTTACGGAGCTGTGCCTCATTGGTCCTTAAATTCAGATGTTTTGGGGTCTTGTCATTCATGCACTGGTCTTAAAAGTTGGATTGTCCAATTTTGCCAAAGGTAGGAACCCTTTGATCTTCAAGTTGAAGCTCCAAATTTTGAGTCCCCTCCCAATTGTGTATTGCCATACCAGCAGTGGGGATTATGGTGAGATTATGTCTCAGCCTTTCCTACTCATTTTGATGTGGTTTCCCTTTCATATTCCAGTGTGAAGTGGTTGCTCTGCCTGTTTTTAAGTTTTTTCCCAGTGGAATTTTTCCATATACAGCTGTAGATTTGGTGTGTCCATAGAAGGAGGTGAGTTCAGGTTCTCCATATATTGCCATCTTGAACTGGAACCAGACCTCTAAGTTTTATAGCCTCATTACTAACTGCTTCTGTGTATATTTCTAGCCAAACCATAGTATTCAGTGGTCACCTCCCATTATTTTTCCTCATTCCACCCTTGGTTCAAAAGGGTTTTTAGTAAGAATGCTTACTCTTCTATATTTATCAACAACTTGAAAACGTTCCCATCATGCAAGACCCAGTTCAAATTTAATTTTTAAGGTCATGCAAATCTTTCCTCCTATTCTAGAAGATCAAGAAATTTTTCTAGTCTATTTTAATAGCTCCTGGAATTGTGTTACTCTCCTTTCTCCTTTTTACCCAATTTTAAATTCAGTTTCTATAAACCAATTATCCCCTTCCTACTTTATCAATTTTGTACAATAAAAATTATGCACATATAAATTACTTGGATCAAGGAATACCTATAAGGAAAATGGAAATCAATTTTTCAAATTGTGGTTAATGATTAAAAAACCAGGGGGCAAAAATAACTTAATTATTCACTGGTGGTGAATTTGGAATTTTGGGAGATTAATGAACTCTTTCAGAGCCTTAGAGTATAATAGTATATTTTCACTTGTAATTAGATATTGTATTTTAATGTACTTAGAGGCACAGTAGTAGTTCTAAAGAGTTAATAAGACATCCAAACTACTTACTACTTAAAAGAGGAATGTGGTTTTAAATTTCTATTATAAATACTAACTTTACTTTTGTGGTAGATTATATTCCTGGAAAATATGCAGAAGAATGAAAGGAGAAACTGATTTTCTTATAGAAACAATTTTATCACAGAGTAATTTTCAAATAAGAGCATGATAATTAATATTTTTATAGAATTGAGTATATACTTCATAGTGATAATGGATTTGCTCTCTGATAAATCTTTTATCTATACTCTGTGCTAGTATTTAAAGCTTTCTAAAGATAAACAGTATAACCAACCAATCATTTACTAACTGCATTCAAGGTCGTATAAATTGTTGCACAAAGTTATTTTACTCCTCAAAATCCCTTCCCTTTTTAACAAAACTGTCAGGTTAAAAAGGCTTTAATTAGGGTCATTAAATTCTGAATGTTCCCTAAGTGGATTTTGACAAGTGTCTTAGAGAGATTTGGGAGCAATGTAGAGGTTTTTTTTGGTGAATTTTTGAAAAGCTGATTCCAGGATACGTTTTGCTGCCCTCTTTATCTTACATCTTTTCCCTGTGATAAGCACAGGGAAAACTGTTCAAATCCATTGTAAAACCTTTGTATCTCTTGGACTCACTGATTTCTTCAGCTACCTCATATGATCAAGTATTACCACCTTTCCTCCTGGTATCTCAGCCTTTAAAATTCCAAACTAACCATTGCTTGCTTTGATGGTATCTTTTCCTATCTCACTACGATAGGGATTCCCGTGTCAAAAAAACAGCCAAAATACTCCAATTTAATTCTGACTCAATGAAAGGCACATAATTTAATTTGCCACCTAATCCACAAAACCTGTGTCTGAAGCGGTACTTCTTTTTTTAATGTAACACGTCTTGTTTATCTATTCCTCTATTGATGGACAAACTGATTGCTTCCATATCTTGGCTATTGTAAATAATGTGACAGTAAACATAGGGGTACATATATCTTTTCAAAACAGAGATTTTGTTTTCTTTGGGTAAATTCCTAGAGGTGGAGTTACTGAGTCATATGTTATTTCTATTTTTAGTTTTGTCAAAAACTTGAAAGCATAACTATTTAAAACTGAGGAGGTTCCTTTCTCCAAAAACATAAGAGGATGTGTAGTACCAAATGGGTTTCTTTCAAAATCATAACCTTAGAGTGGGGCTGGTCATGAAACTCTGAGGCCATGAAGTAATTCTGATAATGCTGCCATTAACTTTAAGCATATCTGGAAACCTTCATTAGGCAGTGCCCTTAGATACAGGTTAATTATGCATAAGAGTACCAGTCTTACTACTTTATAATTACAGATCACTCTACCTTCTTAGAAACATTGTTACTGTTAATTTTTTTTCTTCCTCTTCAACAGTAAGTCTGTTCAAATGTATGTTTTGAGGATTACCGCTTCTCTTCCCCTCCCTACACATGATGTTTTTACTATTTAAATTGCAGGCATAAGAGATGAAATTGATGGACTGAGTTTTATAAATGCCAACCTGAGAAGCTGAGGATTGTTTGTACTCATATACTCCATAATGGCTCTGAAATAATAGCTGTAACCTCTAGAAAAATGAAGATAAGGCTGACAGAAGGACACACTTTATTTCCATTCATTCATGGTGTAGTGATGTTTTCTCTTTATAATGCAATTCTATGAGCTCTGTTCACAGAGAATTTTCATAATAAATACAGATTTTCTCAGGGCAATGCAAAGTTTAAGAAGAAAAAGTTTGAGTAAGCTCCGACCCCTCAAAAAAAATATGAGTTTCACAGAATACTTACCTCTCAGCATTACAGCTTTCTTTCTTTCATCCACTTATGGGATTTGTATGACCAACATTAAGCATTATGTATATATTTTTGTGGCAAACAATGAACTACTAGAGTTTCCTATACACCTGATCATCAGGACACTTTAGAGCAATCTATCATTTTATGCATTGCAACCTGAGGTCTGACATGCCATTCCCACAGCCCACAAACTTTTCAGTCTCAGGAAAATTGTGTAGAAATGGTCTTTATCTCATGTGCCTTAGCTTTAGTTTATATTTTCACCATTCAAGTCAAGTTTAGTATTAACTTAATAAATGTAACAATGCAAATGGACTAACAAGCATATGTGGTATATATAGGACAAATTTGGCCTCAACACTGTTTATCCTCAGAAAAGTTATTTCACCTCTCTTAGATTCCATTTATTCATTTGTATTGGAAAGTTCCACAAGTTTATTAGAAAGACCAAATAAGATGCTGTATGTGAAAGTACTTAGGAAAGTTGTAATGCAGAATACAATAGGTATCCAACACATTTTTAGTGAATGAGCAAATTTCCATGCCCATTATTTAGTTATATACAGGTTTGTGGTCCTGATGTTTGTGCATACATTGTTTCAGTTTTCACTTTCCCTTGCCTGTACAGTTATCTCTTAGACAGACTGAACATTTTTACTATCATTCACAAATAAAAGGATTTATATGAAAGAGATTTACTTTTGCATTCTGGAAAAGATTCTTTTATTTATTGTATCTTATTAACAATATCATATTTAGTGAATAAATGTTTAAAATAAAATATTAGATTTCCATTTTGGTTGAAAATATTTGTAAAAACATGATCTATGTCTCTTAAATAAGAAAGCGCCTTCAATTTCAATGAGGAAACAAAGAAAGTTCATCTTCCCTTCCTCTCCCACATTAATCACACTTGGCCTCCATCTTCACACCCCTGTGACCACGAATATCACACAAGAAGACCTTTTTCCTGTTGTCCCTGAAGTTCAATGAAAGGAGTTGTCTGGTTGGTCATTCTGGCCCTTGAAAAAGCCAGGGAACATAGTTAAACATAATCACAATTGAAAAATTATTTTACTTTTAGCTAATCATTGACGAACCACTCTCCCTGCTCATAAGGCGGGAATGGGTCACAGAGCTGCCATGGTGGGATAGTTGGTCACGAAACTCTGAGGCCATGAAGTAATAGAGAATTGGATCCAAAAGACAGGAAAGACTTGCAAGGCATAGACAAAAAGGATGGAAATACAGTGTGCTTTGGACAATGGGACAACTGCTAATAATGGTTTCCTTTACCATAGTATAAAAAAAAAAGTTAATATGATAGGGAGTGAAGCAGATGAAGAAGACAGAGGCACACATGAAAACCATCCTGAGTGCTTTCTGCCTCTCATTGATTCCTTGGAAAGCCAGTGGTGGCTGCCTCAATGATATAGTAGTTTTCCAGGTACACCATGCAATGGTTATTACTGGAACCACAAATCCTGAGAGTTCAGCGATTGTAATCATTCCAACCAAAGCAACTGCATTCATTTTCTTATAACCAAGATCAGCAAAGCAGGACTCAGTGTTGTTGGCTAAGTCTGTGTTTCTTAGGATGGGAAATGGCAAACAGGCAGTCCCCACGACGATCCAAATGGCAGCACTGATGCCTACATCATATCTACGTTTCCAGTCTCTGGCCCTAAAGGGCTTCAGGAGGAAGAAGCACCTCTGAAGGCTGATGCACGTCAGGAAGCAAATGCTGGCATACATATTGAGATATTTCAGGTAGAAGCACAGCAGGCAAAGGGCCCTCTGGAAAGGCCAGTGGTGACTGATGTAATAGTAAATCCGGAGGGGTAAGGACAGCACGTGAGCAAGGTCAGCCACAGAGAGGTTGATCATGAAAATGATGGCTTTATTTTTCTTGCTGATGAAGCGACACAGAACCCACAAGGCTGCACTGTTGGCCAGAAGACCAGGAATGAATATGAGAATGTAGGTGGTTGCATACAGGGTGTACTGAAATGTCACACTGGTGACACTGCAGTTAGTCATAACATTGTTGGTACTGTTGCTACCCATCTTGAATATTTCAGTATATTCACCAAGGTAAGCCGTGAAGTTATGATCCCTGAACAAAGCAAAGAAAAAAAGAGTCTAATAGTTAATCAGTTCTTTAGCCAAAATCCGGATACCTTTTTCATACTTACAAGAGACAGAGTGTTAGAATTAGAAGGGACCTGTATACAGATGAATAAGGAGATACTCAAGGAAGATATACTACTGATCCAAGCTCACCCAGTGAATGATTTAGGGAACCATGGAATTATCCCCAAACTGCTCTCCCAAATTGTTTAAGTTATGTCTTACAAGCAAAGATGTCCAGAGATATTCAGTGTGTTGTTCTCAGCAGAACAGAAAATGTGTAGCATTGGAATCTGTTTTATTTTTCCATATTTAGTCTCTGAGTTTCAAAGACTGCTTTCTGGAGATAGACGTAGATCATTTTGCTCCTTAACTGTATTTTTAAAAAAATGATCCCTCTTTAATTTATTTTTTATGGAAGTATAGTTGTTATACAATATTATATTTGTTTCAAGAATAAAGCACAATGATTCCACAGTTACACACATTATTAAATACCTACCCCCACTAGTGAAGTTACTATATGTCAACACAGAAGGATGTTACAAAACCATTGATTATGTTCTCCATGTTGCACTTCCCTCTCCATGATCAACTTGTACTATGATTCAGATTTTGTGCCTCTTAAACCCCCTCACCCATCCTGCTTCACCTAATCTCTTTCCCATGGTAACCACCAGGCATTTCTCTGTGTCTATGGGTCTATGACTGTATTGTTCATTTTATTTTGTTTTGTTTTTAGATTCCACATATAAGTGGTATCATGTGGTATTTCTTTTTCTCCACCATATTTATTTCACTTAGCATAATGCCCTCTAGGTCCATCCATTTTGTCATAAATGGCAGGATTTCTTTCTTTTTGTGGCTGAATAGTATTCCATTGTGTATATGTACCACAGTTTCTTTTTCCATTCATCGACTGATGCATGCTTTGGTTGCTTCAATATCTTGGCTATTGTAAATAATGTGGCAATTAATATAGCGGTGCATCTATTCAAATCATAGATTTTGTTTTCTTTGGTTAAATTCCTAGAAGTTAAGATACTGAGTCACATGGTATTTCTATTTTTAGTTTTTTGAGGACCCTCCATACTGCTTTCAATAGTGGCTGTACCAATTTACATTCCCACCAACAGTGCTGGAGGGCTCCCTTCCCCCCATATCCCAGCCAACACTTGTTACTTCTTGTTTTGGGGGCAGTGGGCATTCTGACTCGTGTGAGGTGATATCTCATTGTGTTTTTGATATTCATTTTCTTGATGATTAGTAGTGTGGAGAATTTTTTCATGTATCTGTTGGTCATCTGTATGTCTTCTTTGGAAAAATGTCTGTCCAGGTCTTCTGCCTGTTTTTTGATTGTATTATTTATTTTTTGGTATTGAGTCATATGTGTTCTTTATGTATTTTGGATATTAACCCCTTATTGGATAAATTGAACTGAATAAAGAGCCCAAAAACAAACCCACGCATATATAGTCAATTAATATATGATAAAGGAGCCATGAATATACAATGAGGAAAGAGTGCTTCTTCAATAAATGGTGTTGGGAAAACTGGACAGCTACCTGCAAGAGAATGAAACTGGATTGCTGTCCAACTTCATATACAAAAGTAGACTAAAAAGTGGATTAAAGACCTATATATAAAACATGAGAACATAAAACTTTTAGAAGAAAACATAGGCAAAAACTCTTGAACATAATAAGCATGAACAATATTTTTCTGGATATGTCTTCTTGGGTAAGGGAAACAAAAGTGAAAATGCATCAAATTAAAAAGTTTCTGTGCAGCAAACCATCAACAAAACAAAAAGGCAACATATCGTATGGGAGAATATATTCCTAAAGTATTCTGTTTCTTTTGCATCCAATTATTTCCTGTCCCAAGCCTTGATTAAAGTGAATATTACTTACTCATTCCATCTAGCTTCACCTGTTAGGTCCCTTTGCTTCTCCTTCATCTGCCACCTTTCCCATTGAGTCCTGACTTCTTACTTTGACACTACAATACTTGGAAATTGCCCTTCATCCTTTGTCCTGTATTGCCAATAACTTAGCTCATTTTTAATGCCTTGGAAATGCTACTTCCTTATAATTATATCACAAGGGCTGGTAGTGCTTGTGGACTTTGTGTCTACTGGCTTAAGTCTCATTACAATTTTACATGAAAAATTTCATTATTATATGAATTTAGAAGCTGAACTAGAATACTTTCCCTTATGTGATCTGGAAGAGAAGAAACTAATTCTCCACCAAAGGGGATCTCTGTACTGGTGTGACATAATGAACATGGCAGATTATCTAACCCTCACAGTGAACATTGATTAGTACACCAACAAAAGAGGCTATCAAAATAATTTTCTTGGAAACAATTTAAGACTTAATACTTTATTTTTCATTTAAAAAGTCATCATAAGGAGAAAATATTTGGGGCTTTTTAAAACTTACTTCATGCTTTAGTGTAATTTTTATTTTGCATTATATACAATACATGGGGAATATAGAATAATCTTTAGGGCTTCTCATGGTCTGGCCATAGACTTATGCAGGCTGCCTGCAGAAAAGAATGTCAAGAGAGCAACAACTTGACTATTTTAACTTTGACTGTCTTGTAGAGGTTTATATTGGAGAAGACTTTTGAAAATCATTTAATTTAGCCCCCTTATAATATAGGTAGAAGAAATGGAATTTATTAAGGCCACAAAGCTACTAAATGGGACAAAGTGACCAATCTTTTTATATACATTTCTCTTCATTTTTTTTCTCCCAAAATCAAAATTTACAAACATAACTTCTGTCTGTACTTCAGGAGTGTTTATTGCATTTAGAGCTAGAAGTGGAAGAAGCAAAGTAGTGAGGATGTTCCTCAGGTGGAAAAAGGGTTTGTGTTATTGTTATTGTTATTTTGCTTTGTTTTATTTTCAGTAATTTTACCATAAAAAAGGATGACCTGATTTTAGATTCTTCTCATAAGTAAAATGACTTCCTATATAATTTTGAGTCCTACTCCAGGAAATAGAAATATCATAAAAGAACAAAACACCAAGGGATTAATTCACAGGTAAAAAAGAGACATTATGAACTACCATTAATTTAAAGAGTACTTGCATTTCTTCCCAGCTCTTTATATTTCATCCTTCCTACTTGATCTATCTGTGGTATGTCCTGAAGAGTCATTCATCTTACTTATACAGGTATGACTTAGAACAGTGTGTGAAGGGATGTTCACAGGTGAAAAAACAGGAAATAATTATCATGGTGTGACTTATTGTTAATGATGTACCCAGGAATCTGCAATGAAATTTTCACATGCATTGTCCAATTCAATTCACATAACCATCCTAAAACATAAGTACTATTGTTTTCATAGTGCAGATGAAGAAATGGGGGTTCAGAAAGATGAAGTTTACTAATGTAACAAAGCTAGAAAATGGTGTAGAAAGGATTTACTATCATGCCTGAATTGCTCCAAGGTCTATGCTATTTCCATTGCAGCATTTCCATCTCCCTGCTCAGGATGGACTATTTTATTAAGTATTAAGCATTCTTTTTTATTATGTAGTCAGTATTTCATATTCTATTGAATGGGGCTCATCATGACATCTGGAGGGTACATTATGGCAGAACCTTTCTAATCACACAGTAGGATCTTACGATCTTAAAACTTATGTATTCTAGTTAGGCCATCAAGATATAACTAAACACCTGTCCCCACACATGCTACACATCCCACTTCACCACTCACTTTGACTTCAGTATTGACACTGTTTCTACTATTACCTACTATACATGCAGAGGTTGTGAAAAAGGAAGTGAAGACATATCAAACGCATTACAATTCCAAGAACTAAGAGTAACTCACACCCACCCAAATCACACTTCCACTTTTGCACATTACTGTCATGGGCATTAGTTTCTGCTTCACTGCTGTAGAAATTTTCACTTACTAAAGGGGGTTGTTGTGTTCACACTTTTGTGTTAAATAATAGAGCCCTATTATGCCAGAACAACAACCTAAAGGTCAAGTTCACAACTTCTTTTTTATGTGTTCTTATGCCTCTGCAATTTACATTGTGAGTTTATAGATTTGCATTGCCTGTTATCCAAAACCTCTTCTCTTTATCAGACTGAAGGTAGGAAGAGTTCTCCAAATATGTTTGGTGACAATTAAATGTAAAATCTCCATGGAAGGGAGAGATTGGGATAATTTGTTTTCAGTAGGGAAGAAATATAAAGTCTCTCAGAGAAGCTTGATGGTGACAATCTGTGAGATGGCTGAAATGTAAGAAAGGAGAATAACCTAAGAATCCACTAACAGGAAAATGCTGAATAGAAGGAAAAAAGTCAGAATATGTTCCCTGTCTCTGTCTCTCACTTGGGCTCTGACTCTATTGTTGACTATTTCTGGTTGATTTGTGTTCCCTGTATTGCCAATCTCTCTCCCCTTCAATCTAGACATATCAGTCCCCCCCCCCCCCACTGTGCCAGAAAGAAGTGTGAGATTAGCGAATCACTCCTACACCTGAGCTCTCCTTCTCAGTCAGTGTCAGGACTCCTCACCCCAATACTCAAGCTGGAAACTAGAGATTCATCGAACCCCTATCACTACATTTTGCTCATATCCAATCAGAAATCACGTGATTCTCCCTCCTAAAAATCTCTCAAATCCATCTCTGTTACATCTACATTTCTCCTAATTCAGGCCACTGCAATAATTTCTCTTGACTATTGCAACATATGCGTTATTGGACTCCCTGACTCCAGTCTTGGCTCCTGAAGTCTATTTCCCATACTGTGTCTAACATTAACCTTAATTATAGCTACTGTTTATCGAGGGTTATCATTTATTTACAGGCTTGACACTTTTCACATATTATTACATTAATCCTCATGGCAATGCTGTCATTATTTCCATATTACAAATGAGGAAACTGAGATGAAGAGAAGTTAAATACAAATACATTGTGCCAAGGTCATAAAACTTGCA